TATGTATATCACAATTATTTAGTATATTGTAATTACTGTATTTATCTTTCATTATCTAATTAATGTAATTATTGATCTCAGAGTTTCGTAACTTAGGGTACTTTGTTTCTTGTTAATTCTTTTATATATATAGTAGAAATAGCATATGTCGTAAAACGAGATCAGAGCATATCTCAGAAATCACAATTGAATGCACGTTGATGGGGTAAAGTTAAAAATCAAATTAAAGACATCCACGTTTCCAGGAACAACGAAATTATGGAGCTGATTTTTGTTATCGATCAAATCGTTCCTACACAGGTATTCACTTTCTCCTCGCCTCCTACTTCTTCCGTACGCCTCGGAATTTTAAATGGCAACGAAATCCCCCGGGAAGAGAAAAGTGTCCTCGACTCTAACATGTTCTAATTTAGAATTATTTAAACATACTTGCATAAGGTGTAACTCCGGTAAAAGGCTCCTTAACCATTTTGACCGCAGTACAGGCTGGGACATGGCTGTACCGCAGCCTAGAAGGGGATGATTGTAACGTTCTTGAAAAATTGGTATGAATATTAACATTTTTATTTTATCACTAGGATGTTGATAGTATAATTACAAATAAAAATTGCTGTGAATATTAATATTCTTATTTTATTAGTAGGATTTTATTATATCATTAATAGTACTTCATTAGTAAAATTTCGTCTTTTCAAATGAGCAACATCGAATGTTATTTGTATGGAGAGTACATTAGTGTTTTACCGAGTCAACAGTCAATAGTATATAAAATGAAATAGAAAATACAAAGATATATGTAATACATATATATGAAAAATTAAAGAAATTAACTGATCGCAATAGAACTAAATTTCCGTTGTGGCAAGTGAAACAAGTCTCTTTCCTTAGGTCTGAGAACGATAGCTTCAATTTATAATTCGAGACAATTTAATCCAAATAATTCTTCCGTCACTGCATTGTGATCAGAAAAAAGAAAAGAAAAAGTTTTGTCGTAACGACCAAGAATTTTGCTCAAGACTATATTTCCCACGCTCCACTTTTGAAAATGTAATATTTGATTTAAGATCACTTTTCTCCAATGGCCGTGGGAAACGACGATCCTCGGGCGCCGTTTAAATATTCAATATGACGAATAGCGAGAGCACACGATTGGTTAAATATTTTTATAACCCGACCGCGATATGTATATTCGTCTGAACACCAACGTGTGCGTACCTTTGTCGCGGCGGAACGCGTACGCGCCTTTATTTTTATTTAAGGCGATATCGACCGATTTCGTGAAAGGACATTGAAACCGGCCCGCCACTTCTGGGGTTAATGCAGAAGGGGGGATGGTCCACGTGAAATAGGCCACCTAAATATTTTTCTTTCCGCTAAAATTACCTACTTGGGGGGTGGGGGGCTCGATCGCTTTTTATCGAAATTCCCGACTGAATTTTCCATCGGCAATTTAAAATCGAAACCGTCGTGCCGGACTTTCTTTGTTTACGCGCGGTAGTTTGTTTTACTGGTCGAATTGAAAATTAACATGTTTCAATTCGGGATCCGACTTCGTTTACGGTATATACACCTGGTGAAGTTTGACAGAAATTTAGTAATCGAAAAACGAATCGAAGAAAAAAAACGACACCTTGGAATGTACGTGTAATGAATCTAAATGAATCGAATAGACTTTAAAGGGGACGATGTCGGTACTTATCAGGAATTATTGTGCACGGTTGTTATTTTGATGGATCGGTCTGGTTAGAAATTTTACGTTCATGTCACGTTGACTTTTAATATGGCTCGGACCAGCCCTTTCACGAGGTTTTCAGGAATGTTATGAAATTATTGGATATCTCTGAATAAACTGGCAATATTTGAATAATCACCTGGAGATTATATTAGAAAAGGCAAATTTTCTTTTGAGATCTGACAGGAATCAGTGATGTTTGGTCTGCGGAGTTTGCGTATTTACAGGGTAAATCTGCAAAGTCCGATAAGGTGAAAAGTTTAATGGTATGTAATAATGTATTTGTTCTTCTAAAATCCATAATCGATGAAATATACTACTATTTTATTTCAGTTTGTTCTAAATTTACATAGTGACGATGAATTACATTTTCGATGATATTATATTCGGGATGGACTTCACAAGAGCGTTCTTAATTCTCTGAACTTCGCCCTTGTACACCTTCAGTTTATTGTTATATTCTTATGTTTATCATTGTTCTTTGATCTATTTTCTTGTGTAATAAAGGTACATATTATTATTATTATATTTTTCTTTCAGACAATGAAATACATAATCGTTTAACTTTCATCAGTAAAATTAAAGATTCTTTCGTAACCATCAGTACACCATTTATTAAACGGCTCATTGCAATGACAGGCAAACTGCATTGACAACTTTACATCAATTCGTACAGTTTTTCGGTGTATTCACGGTATGAAGAGGTCCGATTCCTGCACAAAACGTTCATTTCAATTCGACCTTCCCCGAACGCCATGAATTCACACGAATCGGCCATTCATTAAGCGACATGGTTCCAGAAATGCTCAAAGCGTTTTAAAACGTTTCACATCGTCCGTAAGCATTAACCCATCGTGACCTAATATCGTCCGGAGGACGAGGTACGAAACGTAGAGTCCCGAGAGTATGAGAGAAAGAGAGAGACAGACAGAAGCCACAGCCGCATCTCCTAAACGCCCCTAGAGCTCCCCTGTTTTTCCGCTCAACCGTTGTCGTTCAAGCAGGGACTTCCGGTTGTACCGGCGAAATGGTTCAAAAAATCAAGAGACGATTGACAAAAAAAAAAAAGAAGAAGAAGACTTACTGAAGGTTCCGCGAGTTAAGCTCGGCTAAACGAGCTCCGTGGCAATGGCTGACCTGGTCGCTAATACGGAAGACTCCCCTTATCCTGGACAGCCCTATAGCACCGAACGAATGTCATAACTCGATGCTCAACATTCAAATGCCATCGTCCCGCCCATAAAATGAATGAGAAACGTCTAAATGTATAGTCGCAATACCCGACTAACGCAGTATCCCTTCAATTTTCTTTTTCATTTTTTTTTACTGGAACACAAAAAGAGCGGATAAAATATTTCTACGAGACAACCCCGCCACATTCTACGAAAGGAAAGTTTTAGCGTTCTTGATTTTCACGCTGTTATGATAATTTAGCAAGGTTACATTTTCATAGATAAGCGATAATCGGTTCTATATACGATGAAATATTGATATGTTCGAGCTTCTGCATTTCACAATATCGAATTAGGTGGGCGGGTACAACCGGACGCTCACCATGCCCTTATGACTGAACACCCTTTTTCTGATCCAGTGTCCCGATATCTCGTTCCTTTCGCTTGTAATTTTACTGCGTTTCGCTTTAGTCGTTATTGGACAATGTAAGCTGAGAAAAGAGACTCCTGGGAAGACGAAAACTTGAGGGACTTTATTCGATGAATTAAAGTCGGTTGAAAAGGATAATGAATTAATGTTGAACTTAAACTAGAATGATTTACAAAAAACATATCCAACGGGGTATGAAGAAATTTTGGCTTCATATGTAAAACAAACTTGGCACATAGATGTATGACATTACACTAAAAAAAAATGTTTCTGAAGATTGATTATGATTTGGCAAAACACAATAGCAATATAAGTATGTCTCTAACTTGGTGCCCACATCAAAATGTAAACAGGATTTAACGTAACTAAAAGATAATTACTAATTTTATATTTATTTTATTTTTGTATAGCGTCCGCAACGAAAATACTCGACAATAGAAATTACATAATAATTATACAAATATTACAGTAGACTAAACATGAATCAACATACGTTGGTACATATGCATTAAATGAGTACAAGCTTGAGAAAGGAAGCGAACAATATGTACACAGATTACAATAAATTTGTTGCAGCAATTATACACATTGACACCAGTCTATAGAATACTTCCGTTACTAGCTGTACATCAGTATTACCTTTTCCGAAAATATTAATGAAGACTTTATAGTCATATAACCGTCTTATTTTTTATTTCTGTAAAAACATCTAACGTCCGGCAATAGGGATGTTTCCCCTGCAAGAAATGCAAAATAGAGAGAATACAGGAGAAACAGAAATGCCGGTAATGAAGACGTAGAAGGAGATATAAGATAGAGAGGAAGATAGAAATAAATGTGAGGGAGACGACGAACGAAAAGGGGAATGAGAGGAGCGGGGAAAGAAAAAGCAGAATGGAGAAATACTACGGGTAGAAATTGTGAGAAAACGAACGGAAAGAAAAGACGAATCGCGAACAGTGAAAGAAAAAGAAAAGTGACGCTAGAGATGACAAGGAATGGGGGCTGGGGGAGGGAGAAGTGGACGAGAAAAGGGAAATAGAAAAGGTAGTAACGAAGGTATGGAAGGAGATGTAAGATAAAGACAGTGATAGAAATAGAAGATAGAATAAACGTGAGAGAAAGAGAGAGAGTCGAGGAATAGAGAGGGCATGAGAGAAACGGAGAAAGAGAGGCGTAGGGCTAAACGCGCCCGAAAAACGCGCTCATTGCATTCGAGCCATCTCTCGCAGGGAAGCCCGGCTTTGACCCGGTAGCCGGCGGCGGCACAGTCCGCGCGGCTGCCTGACGCATTGCAGGTGCGCGTCGGCCAATCACAGGCCCGGTTAGTTCGCCCGGACTTGTCCTGTAAACACGACCGCACCCACCCCGCATGTAAAACGGATTTGCACGGTTGTCCGTGTCGAGCATTCTGTAGATCGGGTGTCGTGTCGTTCCTACTTCTTCCCATTTGTCCAATTAAAAACCAGTCGTTTTTTCAGGGTTTTCACAGAGGGGAAGCCGCACGGGACTATCTGTCGACCGCGTAGGGAAACGACGCGGCGCATCGCCGCGTGAACTCCCCTTAACCCCCGCCTATGCGGCCGACCAATCAGGAGACACCGTCGCGTAGCCCGTTAGGGGCGGCGTAGTGATACCTGACCGAGACAAGCGGCAGAGAGGCTCGTACACCGAGAGAGAACGGTGGACTCCATTGCTGTCCCGAGTGTGTTTCTCGTCGGCCGTGTCGTATTGCGTGTCTGTCCGCGCTTTCGTGCACACGAGTTTTCATTACCCCACGTTGCTCGGGTAATTGTGAACAGTATATCCATTTGTGTCCAGTGCCCAAGCGATATTTGAAATCCTCGAGCTTACCCGAAACGTAAAAACGAGCCACAATGGTAAGTCCGATTCTCTGTTTCCTGGTGTCCGCCTGCCTGCTTTTCACTACGTGCGAGCGTTCGTCCGTGCGTGCGTGTGCCTATGCGGACGGACGTCGCTCGGCAGCCGGCCCCTCGCCTTCGCCCTCGCCCTCGCCCTCGCCCTCGCCCTCGCCCTGGCTTTCGTTTGCCGCATTGACGCGCCGAGTGCACGTGCAACCGACTCCGATAGGCATTTACGGAAATGTCGTTTTTTCCTTCCTCTACGTTACCTCCCTATCGGAAAGATCCGCCTCCAAATCGTACGATATTCCCTGTCTTGTTCTAAGTATGCCTTTACCTACGCACTATTTTGATATTACATTCGTAATGGCCGGTACGTGTGGAGATGGACCGACTATCGATCCGTTCCTTCTCCACTAACTACACACTTATTTTTCCTAATTCTTGGAGATGTCATGAGTCAACAGAGGTCTAGGCGAAACATCGATCGGTGTGGTTAAGAAACAACCACCAAGAGATATTTCGAGTGTTTTACTATATTGAAAGGTGGAGCATAGCGGTCACCACGGCGAAAATTTTCGAGACCCACCGTCGTGCGTTGCGTGTCATTTATATCGGTGTGTTAACGTGTAACGGTAACGTTCGGTATCGAACGACGCTAAAAGGACTCATTCGAAATTATACATTCACGAGTCGGCTCGAGATATCTTATCTTAAGATTATCGAATCTTGTACGAGATAATTTGCTATCGGTACTACTCCCCTCGAACTGCAAATTTCGTTTCCACCTTATATCGAGATACTGGCGCGAAATTTGAGCTAGAATAACTCTTTTACCGAGAAATTATATACTTACACGTAATCATTGCATACCGTAATAATACTTTGACATTATTTGTCAGGGGGCTTCAGGAAGTAGTTGTTATATGGAAATGTGGCTTTACGCGAAGCTTAACAAGCACAACGATGCAATACGGATGTTTTGGATATAATAGTTGTTCCCTGTATTTATTAAATTTAGTTGATGTACTTACAACGCTATAATGAAAGTACAAAATATTGCCCTACTTTCGGTTTTATATTTATCGTCTGATAAAATTTTCTCGGAACTAAAGTAGCTATTACGAACTATTAGAAAACGATGATTCCACGTAATTTCTTATCGTCGAATTTCCTCTCACGGATGTTCGATATTTTCTCTTGTGATGTATATAGTTGTGTAGCATTCGACAATCAACCGTTACACGGTATACCTCGCTATTGATTTTCGCGGTCTCTCACCGTTGCGCCAGTTCCCCGTATTCCTTATACGTTCTTGCACCCAACCTTCGATCAGTTTATTGCGAATGCTACTTTCTTTATAGGAATCGAAATCGAATTGATTTCAGAGCCTGTTTCCACTACTTTCCGCGGATTTAAGAAAATAAATATAATTTTTTATGAACATATGTTTTTTTTAGGCGATTAATACTTCATTTTGCCCTGAAACTTTTTTGTATTAAATTATATTTCTGTTTTATTATTTCCGAAATTTAAAAACATTTATTCCAAAACGAGATCCCTCATAACTGTTCGTCGACATTTTTGCCGCATAACCTATAATATTACATACATCTAATACGAACGGATAATATTAGTTTCTATATGCATATACGGATTTTTGTATTCGGTCATGAGAATATAAATTACTCTCTTTCTCTCTCGTTCTCTCTGTTTGATGAAGTACGAACTTTTTTATTTTTATCGTCGGGATGCGTGTACGAGGTAAATTCGTTCCTATGATACGTATTTACCTTTAATCGATAGACAGGTGAAGCATGAATATCGGGTTATTGTTTTATCTACGACATTCGTTTTTAATATACGTATCTGAACGCTTAATGGATATTTTTGTTTAAAATATATAGAGGGACGTGTAGTGTACATAGATGACCTATATAGCCAAATGTTTCATTCTATTTAGAAGTTATAGGCATTGTAAAACCACTTTTTGTGTTGTAAATCTGATCTTTCTATTTGTATTAAGCAATTTAATGTTAAATTTCAGCCACTTTTCGCATATATGACTATTTAATGTCTTTCAGTATTTTGTACTTCAAATGAAACAAACCAGAGTAATATGACACTGCTGTTATTCTAATACTTCAGTAATTGATCGGTTATCCATTTATCAACTCATTCAATATACAGTTTTATTTCTCATAAATATATATCATTTACTACATCATAATTGTATTATTGTTTATTTATAAAATATTAGTATGTATTTTAATAATAAACCATAATGTACAAAATAAAAATTATAGTAAAGGATTCTTTAAATATCTTATAATATTTTTGCATGTGAATATTCATCATTTCTTGTATTAAAATCAGACAGTTTTCTGAATATAGTCATAATTTAACCTTCTTTTTATAACCAGAGTAAATAGTAATAATAAAAGGCTCCTAATGTGTAAGAACATCAATTATTTAAGTAAGTCACTATAATGTATATTAGTTCATATAATATGATTTCTATCACATGAAATGTGCATAAAATAAAATTATTTTATATTGCAGATATTTATAGGAAAAGTTGAAGAATATTTGTATACCAGAAATTCATGAAACATTTATGAGTAAAATTTTACAAAGATTTCAATGATCACTGTAAGATGAATTTTTCTGTTTAAAGGCTGATCAACTCACAGAAGAACAGATCGCAGAATTCAAGGAAGCGTTTTCGCTATTTGACAAAGATGGAGATGGTACCATTACAACCAAAGAGTTGGGTACAGTTATGCGATCGCTAGGTCAAAACCCTACAGAAGCTGAGCTTCAGGATATGATCAATGAAGTTGATGCAGATGGTACATTACCTTATTTTTATTTCACAATATTTTGAAGAAAAAAAAGTTATTTTCCATTATTCATTATGCAATTTTTATATTCTCTATATTGCATGCAACATGGATGACATATTATTTATTTGCATAATGAAAGTAAGAAAGACAAACTTTTTTTTATGTTTCCATTAATACCCTCTCATTAAAAATATTGGAAAAAATCTGATTTCAGAAAAAATCGAAATTAAAAATACTTGGAATTGTAGGTAATGGCACAATCGATTTCCCGGAGTTCTTAACCATGATGGCTCGCAAAATGAAGGACACTGACAGTGAGGAGGAAATTAGGGAGGCCTTCAGAGTATTTGATAAGGATGGAAATGGTTTCATATCTGCAGCGGAACTCAGACATGTTATGACAAATCTTGGCGAGAAACTAACCGACGAGGAAGTAGATGAAATGATTCGGGAGGCTGACATTGATGGTGATGGCCAAGTTAATTATGAAGGTTGTATAGAAAAATATTCTCATTGTATAGTACTACTTTGTATGGGTCACTTCGCGTTACCTTCAAATTTAGTATATATATTGAAAATTTGGCTATAAATTTTCATTTAAGTTCGTAATTCAAAGTATAAATTGGAAGTGTTTATAATTTTTGTCTGTCTAGAATTCGTCACAATGATGACATCAAAGTGAATGCAACCTGTGTAATGGAAAAACTTGCAACTCGGAGTGGTGTTGACGTACTAAAATAAATCAAGAAAGAAAGAAAAAATAATGTTAACAAAACGCGAATCGACCAGAAAGTGAAAAAATCTTGTATCTGGACGCCATGATGTCTATAAAAATGCGAAAAAGTCTACGTCCAACACGCGTTAATCATCATTAACGATAAGTAATACGGGCAATTGTTTAATTAAACAAAAAGTTATACCACTAAAAATCATTATCTTTAAATACACAAAATACTTAACCATACCACATACATTTACACAACATGAACAGAAATAGTACATATTACATGCGCATATATACGGACACAACAGAGAAGTATACAGACCACATACAATATACACACATACAGAAAAAGATTTATTTCCGTATAAAAAGAGTATAATTAAAAAATCGTTAGATATATATATATGTATAAAAAAACAGACGCGCGCATGTTTGTTGATGATAAAAGTAAAATAAGTATGTTCTCTTTACTTTCCTCTCTTTTTAGCCTTTTCCTGTTTCTTCTATGCAAGCTCGTGCAAAATTTCATTATGAATTCTGCAGCTTTTGAATGTGCTAAGAAAACAAAAAAGCAGAAAACTTTCTCTCGGTAAAGCAGGAAAGAGAGAGAGGAAAAGTACTGGAAGAAAGAAAAGATATTTACAGCTACTTGTAGTGCAGCATGACTAAAAGTTCATTAATTTATCGATTGAGACACAACAAAAAAAAACTGAAGACTCATTCTGTTTCGATTCTCGATCAGGGGAATGTACTTACTCGATAAAGCGTCATTGATATAGCATACGTCGTAGCGAAAAATTTTTATCAATAACGTACATGTTTAGCGTTTGTTTCGTTTCACCAAAGAAAATTCGGATCGGACATCGTTTACCAGAGCTCGAAAAAAACAACAGTTTCGACCTTTGGCTTATCGATGACTCCGTACATGCTGGATTCCTTGTTGCGCCATAAACGGTATAATTTAATTCTTTTAATAACTGAGAAAAAGTGTACGAGGATAACGATTTAAAAAAAAGAGAAAAAACGAAAAATGAAGAAACCTCGAGAAACTCTAATAGACGTAGCTTTACTCTCTCGGATCTACGTTCTACGAATCGAGTCCTATCGAAGTCTCGACATTCCTAGTGATAAATTTTCTCTATGCTTTTTCGACTTCGTTATATGCCCTCAGTCTATATATATATATATGCATACATATATAGAAAAACATATGAAACGCATTATAAACGCAGGAAAAAACATACAAACACACACACACTCACACGAAACATACATTTCACCAAGTGCGTCGTTCTGTAATCCAATTTTCATTCTAATCTCTCGTTTGTATCTTGTCTCCACTGGAAAAAAAGCCTTAAAGAAACGCGCGCGCGTTTACACGCAACGTCGACACCACTTTTGTTGAAATATTTAAAGAAAAAAAAAATGAAACAACGGAGAAATAAGGATGAAGGATTGAAATGGCGTCAAGTCACAGTGATCGGTGCATTATATTTTCCTTCGCCCAGGGGTGCGTGCCAGTCGTCTCGTAAGCGGAGAAACTAGAACCGGAGAAACTGGTGTGATTTTGTGCGATTCGTACGATAATGTTACTTAAGAACTAAGAGTAATGAACAGACACCGAACGGTGAAAACACATGCGTGTGTCGTCGGTGGTTCAGTCATAATATATATGTAATATATATTATATATACATATATATATATATATATATAAAACTAATTTACGAAAAAAAAAGAAAGAAAAGAAGAAAGAAACAATTCCTCCACAGTCCTTTATTATTTAATATTGAAGTGAACAAAATGAGAAGTACTTGTATTTCTGGTGACCTAGATCGCATTAATCATAAAAAGACAAAATAAATGTATCTTCATTTTTAGGTCACAACTACTCAATTCGTTTCCTTCATTCACCAATGGACCTCTCGTTTCAGCCGTTTTTATCTCATCGTCATTTTTTTCAATGGCATCTAGGGAATAGTTTGCCGAACAGAGATGTATATGTATGAATTTACTCACTGTCAACAAAGATTCGCGTTAACATATCTCTCTTTCAAAGTTTCACCCGATTTGGAAACTTTCTCGCAACGATTCAAAGGTGGTACGAATCACTAAAACAATTATTTTTAAAAAAAAGTTCTTAATATATTTTACTTCACTTGCGATCGTTCTGATAGCTGTTATCGTTACTGCGAAGGGAAAAAGTTTAAATTAGCGATTCATGGCGAGGGTGTGTTTTCACCTTGTAAAAAGAAAAAAAAAAGAGGGAAAGACAAAAGGGAAGAGGAATCGCGAAGAAATCGTTTTGTAAATGGTGATATAGAGTTTATTCAAAGAACATCCCTATATTTAAATGCTTAACAGTTATTGCTCGTTTCATCGATCATTGACAGTTAGTGTTTAAGTCTAAGTTATAAAGAATATATTCCAGTATTTAATATTAATTTTATATTCGTGTCGCCAATTATACGTACTTTAAACTAATTTTTCCGTATTTAAGAAAAAGAAAAAAGAATTTTATGAGAGTTCCCCACAGCGAGCGCCGAGAGCCGATATTAAAGTTTAAAAAAAAATAAGAGAAATATATAAGAAATCAGTATTGTATCTCAAGAATAATCGTAGCTTGAGATCAGTCGTAAAAGCGATCGCATTCTTGTTTTTTTTATTTTTTTTTTCAAAGATCGCTTCTCGAGTCGTTCGTTCTTTACAAATAAATAGTTGGAAATTCTATTCGAGTCACTTGTTCTCAATCCTTCCTTCAAAAATATATATAAAATATATTAAATGCTATATATTTGAAGCTACGTCGTGACGCGAATAAGGAATTATTTATTTTCTACGTTTGCCCTTCATTCAAATAAATGTAATTAATCATTCGGTTAAAAGAAATATTCTCGCTATACGTTTCTTTCTCTTGTATCTGAACTATGTACGTTCATTATTTCTATTGTATGTGAGATATTCTCCGCCATATCAAAGGCATACTTCACTTATCGTGCGTGACGAAGCGACACAGTTTGTATAAAGTGTTGATATTAAGTTAATAAATTGTTCCCATATATTAAACAACCGATTAATTCTTGATTGTTCTAATATAAAATTGCAAATTTTTTATACCACAACTATTCTCGTAAAATATGTTTTAAATAGTTTTCGTCGTTTAATACTTTATTACTAATTATACGTACTGTTCATAGTACAGAAAGTTTATAAAAAGTATTTAACCATTATTACAATTCTAGTTTCGTAAACCCCTGTGTAATGAACGTTATCTTTAGCATACGTTCCTTAAAATATGACATTAGGGAACACGTCACCTACACCATATGTATATTTTAATGGTTTAACGGTCCTTTATTTTCAATTTTGTTAAATTCTTTAGACAAATCATATCGGTTAATGGGAATAAAGCAATTTTAAGAAACAACTATTTACATTATTTTTTTTATAGTAAAAAAATTCTTTGGTATTGAAACATTACATCGTTGTAATGTAATTCCGAAAATAATATAAAATGTATAAAAAATATCACTCTAAATGTATATTTTTACCTTCAATATTGTGTATAAAAATTATTAAGATTCATTTTTTTTTCTTGAGAAATTTCAGTACACATTGAACACATGAAAATTTATGTAAAAAATATTGTATTTCATGCATATCTATTAAAGAGATATGTTTTACGAATATTCAACAAAGTTTTACAATTTACAACCCTCTGGCATGACTTTAAGATGTCGGCACACTTCCTGCAGCAAATTTTTTAGTATCCTTGCTTGGTTCTCTGAATTCTAGAAATACATGTTTTAGATAGCATTTAATCAAGTGAAATTTTATATAAATTCGTAAAATTATTACAAAAAAAACTACATATTTCTTTGATCGATTTTACCGCATTTTGTAAATAACACTTAAACGTCTGGTCGCTGAGCTTATCGTCTCTTATTCATGGACGTCAATACCCGACCGGCCGTTTAAGTGTTAGAAGGTCTATTAAATAAAATGAAACTCTGATCTTACCCCATCCAGTATCACAGTTGGTATAAACGAAACTTTTGGTGTTAAAGAATTTGTTTGTTCTCCATATTTAGCTAGAAGTTCTTGGCCTAATTGCCCAGTGAAACATTCCAAAATTGGATTATAATCTACATTCATCTTCTGCGCACAAATTTTCATGATATTCACTGGTTCTATATTATGTTTAATCATACAAGATAAATACTCTAATTGAATGGATGAATTCTTTAGAATATCTATAGAACATGCATGAATAATATTTGCATTACACTCAATAGGTCCATGCTGGCACGTGAATTTGTAACCATGATCTATTTTCACTGTCTGCAAAAAAATTTCACAGTTCTCATAATTTGCATATATTCTCATTTATTTTGGACATATTAAAAAAAATATATATAAAAAATGCTACGATTTGTCCTCTTTTACTTTGGTAATATAAATAAAACTTTTGATTCATATGTTTTAAAAATAATTCAATAGTAATTGACTTTTAAGAGATAACTTATAGTTTTTGTGAATTACTAGTTTAAGAAATTTATTTCTTAACTAAAACAATCAGTTAAATTCCAAGCTTGTTTTCATATGTTTTCTACTATTTTATAAAGTATCTTACTGTAGCTTTTCCGTAAGGTATTAATTCCATTTGTACATTGTCTGGAATCTTGTGATATGTTGGCAACAACTGTTTAATGAAGAAATTACGTGAATCTGGACATAATGCCTCGTAATACACCGCTATATGAACCTTCTGTTGAATCCACTCATCTTTTTGGCTTGATGTTACCAGTTGGTTGTTCTGAAGCTGTGCTATACATAACTTAGAAGATATCCGCGCAGATCAAGAAAGTTGTGTAACTTCAAATAAAAATGTTTATTCGATGATTGATGTGAAGACAACAAATTTAATTAACAAATTACGTTATTAAACATATTAACAAAAATAACAACATCAATAAAACATTGAACATAATCATGTAGGAAGAATAAGATATAATTAAATACATTATCTTTAATGTGTTTGATAAATTGAAAGCAGGTTAGACATAGCATTAAGCATAATAAACTGTTTTTTTTATTTTTAATAGCGTGCAAAAATAATACAATTAATTTCCGTAAATATAATTTTATTTTTGATGTTTTAAGGAATAAGACTGTTAATTATATAAGACATAAAGAATGAAAATTCCACGCGTTTAAAACAATGTGCAATATCTACGGGGTGCATGTGCATTTTTACCTTCTATGTCAGATTTCTTCTGCGTGAAACTCAGCCAAACTTTTGATGACTGCCAGAGAAGGAAAACGGATATAATAATCAATGGTATCTTCATTCGAAAACCTAATCCCATTATCGGTAATTATAAAAATGACTACACAACAGTACTACAGAATGAATACTACATATGATGTAACAATTTAGAATGACTACATGAGTGATATCTCAGTAGTATAAAATTGTAATGAACGTGGAAGTAAATTCGTTGACATTATTCGGATATTGACCTATTTAGTCTAACTCCGTTCTTTCATAGGCAAGAAAAAGGATCACTGATAAAGCTATAGATATGCACTATTAGTTTTTCTGTCTGATTTGCACAGCAAACATATTTGTATATACAGTTTTGTCCATTTTGTGGAGAAGACCTTGCACCCCTCGCATTATCGTTCTTGTTTTGCGACTTACATATACTTACCAACGAATGAGTCTCAGCAGCTAAGGGGTCTCAGGCGCGGCCTCAGCAATTTCTATTTTTTTAAATGATATTGCATAAAAATGTTTGTGTTATTTTTTTTATCTATACAACGATATGTAATTAGTTATTAGCTGTACTTGTATTATTATCGGCGAAAAGATCTTGTAAATGAATATTTACAGCAGGCTGAACATATACAATTATCTAGAATCTAGAAAATCTTTATATTATAAAATCATTAAAGTTAATAAAATGTTAGAAATAAAATAGGAACTCACACCTGTATCGATAAATTTTTAAAAGAAGAATTAGGAAGACATTTATTTTTCCATTACTATAGTTTCTTTACATTACGCAGTAAATAAAAAATATAATAAAAAACATAATGTTTTTAAATTATTGTATTTAACATATTGGCATATCCTATAAATGCATAAATTCTGCAGTCACATATAATATAGATTATAGATTATAGATAATTGAGTGTAGCATTTGTTTATTGCAATTCGGATCGACGCTCACGGAATGACAAGCGTGACAATGTGCAAACTTGAAGTGAATTCGCACTCAATAAGTTTAATTCATGGTACACAATTGCAAGGGACGTAAAAGGCGCAGGAAAAAATTGTGGGGTTCGCAGTGATTTGCTTATGTATAAAACACATTGTTTTGCTATTATTAGAATTCTATATGTTTAAAGGACAAAAATGCTAACAATGTTTTTCACATTTAATGGAACACTTTACATACAGAAAAATCATGTTTAAAAAGTGTAAATATTATTTAATGTTTACTGTTATCAAAATACTTAGGAATTGCAAATTATAAGTATATTACCGAACATTATGTATATTGTATATAAATAAGCAATAAAATGTGTGTACACTAAATACTGATAATAGATACAATTCACAACTAAATGTCCCACAATACATCTAATTTTACATTAAATTTACATTCATATCTATTCTTGAGTTGTGACAACAAAAAACAGTGGATATGTGTTCAAATACTTGGAAATATTTTGACATACTTTGGTGTGCATAATACTTGAGATTTAAAGAAAATAAATGTATAATTATTTAATTCATAAAATATTTTTATTTAACTTACTGAAAATAGTACTTCTAAAAAATGAGATTAAAAGGATATCTGTAAAATAGTATTTATTTATTGACCAATATTCTCAAGTTCTTCCAAAAATGTCTTACATTTTTCCTTAAGAATTTTAACACCTTCTACAAATAGTACAGCTGGTGATAAAATTCCCACTGATTCAATAGTAACTGTGAAAATGAGAATACATTAAAATATATGTATAAAATTCACCGAATATAAGGCAAAAATATTAAATAAAACATTACTCACAAATTACATGGTTTCGTATTCGACTTAAGCGTACACAAGATTTAAGGTCTTCGTGTTGAAACACATTTCTGGAACAACTATCGTAACGAGGATTTTTTATCCTAGCTTCACGCAAATCTGGATCTCCTGATTTATGCTCAATTACTTCTATAACATCGATACTGAAGCAATTTTTCAAACGATCTGCCATTTCCCCTCTAACTGGTTTTATTATTTGTATATCTGGTAATAATCTGTACGATGCTGTAGCTACATATAAAAAAATATAAAGTTCAGTACAACATATTTAAGTACACACTAAAATATTCTCACAGTTAACATTTATTATAGAAATATATTCTATATATGATTTAACTTCAACTTACCTACAGGAAAACACCTAATTTTTCTACCCCTTGAGGATGAAGTTCTGCCTGACGTCCAATTGGAACCCATTTAATATCTTTGCTATACACTATAAAGAAACAACTTTTTAATTTATTGTATTATCTAGAACCTGCTTTTCTACTTTTTAGTGAGGAATATAAATTCCTATCAGTTTCTACCATATACAGTATTTAACCTAAGTCCTTCTATTTAGATAATCATAATTTACCATTGCTATTCCTGTATACATCTGTTGTCCTTCGTGAATCTTTTGCAGCTTGAGGGTTCCAAGTGCATGAAACTTTAAGTTCATACCTCAATGTGTCTTGATCACTAACTTCGTCTTCATTTTTAGCAGTGGAAGAAGGGTATTCAAATAATCTAGGATCTGCTCGAAGTGGTATAAGACCCAACCTTGAAAATCAATGTATAAGGCATAAATTAATATCAAACATCAATAGGCCTCACTTATAAGGAGTTTACTTTATGACCACGTTATATTATGTCCATTGATTATACATATACATATTCTTTACCTATGAGCAAGGACTTCATCTTGAATTAAACTTGTGTTATTTACAATATAAACTTTTTCTATAGCCATGGTCGGTACTTCACTTAAAAGAACCCTACGAAATGCATTAGCAAAACCAACAGGATATCCAATTAAATCAAATTCTAATTCCCTCTCTTCTTCAGATTCTCTAACGACCTGTATCTTGAATTCCTAAAAATACCATAAAATAACGCAAGACAGATGTTAAACTAAATCGTATATTATATAAAAAAATTTGAAAGAAATATTAGATAATGGTTGTTGATATAAAACATACATAAATATATTAAGTATTACTTATAGTACTATAAAAATTGAAAATATTTATAAATCTATTGAATATAATAATATAGCAAAATTTATGTGCAATTCTAAATTAAATATTACTTTTTTATAATTTTGTAAATTCCAATCTTGTAATGGTTGGTAATTGGTGTAATCGGAAGCCTGAAAAATAACAAACATTAACAATTCTTTTCGTAAACTTGTATGTCTTCATATAAGTTTTTTTTATACTTACATTAGGTATGCCATATTCTTCGAGCATAACACGAGTTTTTCGATTTTCTTCCATGATTAATATTTGTTATGACATTGAGGTTACATTACAAATGCCGTAGGAATACACGTGGTACGACGTATGACTTGGTCAGACTTGGTGTTATTCAATCTATTACATCTTGCTTATGCTAAATTATCTTTACAAATGTTTCTTGAAAAATTGTATTCAATTTATTAAACTTGCAACAAAAGTTTTAGCTAAAATGCAATGCATACCTTCATTTTCCTAATAATTATTTATAAAACATTTTTTGAGTATTTAACAAATACGTTATTAGAAAAAATTTTACTACTTCATTTGCGATAAATCGTAAGATATAAGTAATAAGCATTACAAGTAAGAAATATTATAAAAATCACTCGACGATTAAAATCAAAATTTTTTCAACCGTTAGTGTAATTTACTACTTAAAGTATTAAATAAACAAACTTAATATTTAAAAAATAAATTTTGTTATACTTCAAATAATTATTTTAATTTAATATGTATACAATTGTATTATATCAATTTTGTCTATTTTTATCTTTATTTACAGGTAACAAATGCAAAACTAAAAGTTAACAGAATCATTTATTTCATTTGGCAGTTTTAACCAGAACTTTAACAAATACAGCATCTCTGTAGTGTTTCAATGGTTTATTTTGTATCTGAATTTATAAATATTGCTGCGCTTTCAAACATTCAATTGTTTGCAGCACATCTGTTCCACCATAATTTCGAGGTTGTTCTTCAGAACGATCATACAGCCGACCTCAACATGACAGCGTCCATCTGATCTACATTCCATAACTATCGTGTATTAACTTTATTAAAAATTTTATACATTTTTTAATCCAATGCAGCAGCACCAGAAATAATTTCAATCAGTTCCCTAGTAATTACAGCTTGTCGAGTACGGTTAAATGTTAGAGTCAATTTATCTATCATTTCTCCTGCATTCTTGCTGGCATTGTCCATGGCTGTCATACGACTGGACTGTTCACTGCAGGCGCCTTCCTTCATGGAATAGAACAACAAAGAAGCGAGAGAGAATTCTAGATAACTTTGAATTACTTCTTCATCAAGGGAATCATATATAGACAACTTAGGCGCTGTGATAACTGCATTCTTATCAAACAGAGGTAGTTGGTCAACAGCATATGATACTACCGACTTAAATCGATTGTAAACAATTCGTCCTGCACCAAAGCTGTAACTATAAGTATTGAATGACCGTTATACACAATATATATCATAAAATTCTTAAAAGCAAATGATACCGATGATATTATTTGTATTATACATACCCACTGTTCATAACTTCAGTTGCCACCTTAGCAGCATCATTAAATGTAGGTGGTTTACGACCAACCTCGGATGCAACAAACAGTATGTTATTAGCAAATAAACGGGACAAAATTGCTCTCGATTTTTCACCAATGCACACAATTTTTGTATTTTCACGTTCATTGGCATCTGCTAATAGAACGTCCCTAATATTACGAGAGACTCCAGTGTGTACAGCACCACACAAACCACGATCACTTGTTACAGCTATGACAAGCTTCTTCGGAGCGTCTGCTGGTGCCTGAATCTCTGCTTGTTCATAAAATTGTTTTGTACCAACACCAAGTGGACGAGCTTGCTTTAAATCACGTTCTGCTTTATTATATTTAGCAGCGGACACCATTTTCATTGATTGTGTAATCTTTTGAATATTTTTTACAGACTTCAATCTTATGGAGATGGCTTTAAGAGTCGCCATACCACGTTGTTGTTGCTGCTGCTGCTGTTGTGCAGCAAGTCGCACAATTGTTGTCATATGATTGGAGAACATTTTGATGTTGGATTATGTCCCTGTGAACAATAATATAAAATATATGTACAGATTTTATTGAAATCATATATTAAATATAATTTGACAAGGTAGTTCATTTACTTTATTCACTAAATTACCTTGTTGGTAGTATGGAAATAAGTACAAACAATATATAACCATAAATTGGCTCACAAGAGTACTTCAATAACCCTAAAAATTCAATTTTTTTTTTAAATACTGTAGGTTTGTAAGGGATCTCAATATAGGTCTCATGCATTTTCTCCTTTCGAAAACAGATTTTACAGTTGAATGTATTTTCTTGAAAACTATAGTAATTATAAAGAAATTCTTACAATCAAAATTTAATAACTTTTTATGCTCTAAAAACTGTGCAATGGAATTGTATGTTAAACAAATTTTTAACAATTTCATTGCACAGTTTTAGAGAGCATAAGAAATCATTGAACATTTAATTCTAACAATTTTTAAGATATACAGGGAAATAGGAAAACACATTAAACTTTAAGGTGTGTATTTACCATAATGAACCACAAAATGACAAAACAAAATTATCTGATATTTTTAATGAGGTCACCTACAAATCCCTACATGTGTAAAAAAGAATAAAATTTTTGAGTCGCCAAAGTTTCTTTGTCACTATTAAAAAACAAGGTTAAACTAAAATTTAATAATTGGTACTATAAAAATAAAACTATTCAAATAAATATAAATAATAATCATTTTACATATTAACTACAAGTTTCAATTTAAATTACAACCAGTGAAATTTTATTTAACATAAGCTATTAAAGATGTAAATTGTTAAGGACTTAGGACTTAAAGATCAATTTAAACTTTATATCTTGTAAAGGGTACTGCTGATGTATATTATAGTATTTAAAATATACAAATGTATACACAAACTATCTCATATATGCGCAATATACTTTCTCTAAGAATATAAAGAAACATATATTTTAGTAAATCAAATAGTACAATATCTTACTCATAATAAATAAATCCTATCAAATAAATTAAGTACTAATATGTAAATTAAGTACTAATATATAATATCAACTTAATGTACAAACTTTTATTAGAAATTAAACTCCAAAGTATAGGAAAAATATATTTAACTTACCAACACAATCATTCATGTTTTGAAAAATAAAACAATACATTTATTACATGTAAAATAAAACAATAAATTTATTATACGAAAAATAAAACAATAAATTAAGTGATATACATTTATTTGTACCTGATTCAAAGAAATGTATTGTACTGTAACTATTCTGATTTTTACTTCTTTTAAAAATAATACAATATATTTTTCATAAATTACATTAACCATTTATTGATAATACATTTTATATTAATAAATTTGATACTAGTGTCTGTTAATATACTAGATAATTATTACATTTATTTGGAGAACAATTCATCAGTTTCACTGATTTTCGTTACCAACCGTGTCATGAAGTTAAAGTTTAATATATAGATTAAATGAAAGAATACGGGATGAAAAATAAATGAAAATCAAGGTATTCAGACTGTACTGACAATCAAAATATCGAGAAATATAAGTCAATTTTTAAACCAGTGCAATATTATCTCATTTATATAATCACAATGGACACCACTCAGTTATGCTCACAGTTACTTCTTGTTACATATTCGTTGCAGTACATACCACACAATTATAATAATTAATTTGTGTCTAACATTTGATACGTATGTTATCGTGATGAATCGAACTCACCGCACAACTCAGAACAATGAGAGAAAAATTGAAGAAGCCGTGGTGAGTGCGACAGGGGATGATCACGGGCCACAGGCATGAAGTCCTTCGTAAATGAAATGTGCATATGTGTATGTGTTATGGTGTATATGTATATAGGTTCTGTACTCTGCACAGTTTTGTAAAGGCGATCAATAGGCCATCTATCTTTGAAGTTTCTTTACATGCTAGGGAATTTTTTTACATAAGAAATACCATAGAATAGAATTATTCTGGTTTAATTTTCAAATATATTTTTTTACAAACTTAAAAACTTTTTTATGTATAATTATGGTTGTGAAATACAATTTTATTATCTTTTTTGCAGTAGTTAGTATCTTATAATTGTCGACATTAATGTAGTATTATAAATGAACTTTGCACTGCAATATATAAAGCAAAGGCAAACATTAAATTAATAAAATCACAATATTAAAACGACATAAATGAACTTCAGAATGACAACATTTTAACATCTTGATAATATCATTTTGATATCATAGTAATGTTTTTATTAAAAAATCTTAATCTAAATACCTTTTCACACTTTTCTGCAATAAATTGTGGCAAGTTAGCATACATCTTGCATGTATGTTTTTAGATTTTTCCAGTACAAATAATTTTAAATTAATATTTTTTATAGTATTGAAATATACTTGGAATAGTATCGGAATACTTGTTCCAAGTTTTAAAATATCTTAAACATTTATGAAGTATAACGATTTTTTATGAATATGCTTTGAGTTGCATAATTCTGGTAAAAGAATATTGACATAGTCTTTGAACCTGTGGATTTTAAACAGTTATTACATATTTCACACATGTTTGTTATAGATTTTAAAATATACCCTGCAATGTTGTATAAAGAGTTTAACTCGAGTATTGTCATTCGTTTATGAATAGAATTATTAAGGTCTAGTATTTTATTTGTACTTAATAATATTTTATGTTGCATTATGTTTTTCCTTATTTCTTATTTTCTCATTAACAATTTAATTCAAGATATTCTAAGAAATATTCCCTGTCCTCATTTTCATAATTACTATTATTTATATGTCTCATATACATAACAAAATACAGTTATAAACGTTTCTATATGTTACGAGTGAAATAATGTATATTTATTTTTTTACGCAAATTCATGGCACCTAATGGTTTGGTGTCCAGTCTTTTATTATATGGTCTCTAGTAGTATGTACAAAGTGTAAAAAATATGAAAAATGATATGATCAATTATTAATAGAAAAGAAACTGTTTATGAAACTTTTTCCTGATGAAATTTATAAAATTAAACTTCTTCTTTTTATCATTCCGAAACACAAAATAATAAATTTAAGTAAATTCTAAACACCACAGTTAGTTGTCTTTTCCGTTTACAAATTATAGACTATGAAAAGCATTTTAGTTACGTTCCTTAATTTATATACATGAATTAAATATAATTGGACAGAATTTCTGAACATATGATGAATAAAAAGTATCCACTCTTTTTTGTTATCACAGAAAGTATAATTTTTTCTAGCGCTTTATATAACAAAACAAAAACATATTTCAAAAGTTTCTTTATAAAAAAAATATGTAAACATTTAAATTTCAATATCTTCAAAATATTAGTGAAACAATACGATAATTTATTTAAAATAAAAGATATCTTTCTGTAGAAGAAAACATTTTAAAATACGCTATACATTTATGTATATTTATACAATATACACTAACACATGTATATACACTTATTTACAGATCATCAGTAATGTTTTCACATTTTTAATTTCCATTCAAAAAGTATTTATATGTTTCTCTGTTTATTATAAATAAAAATATATATCATCAACAATATTCACAGATATGCTTGAATTTCTATAAATGTTCTGTTCAATTAGTCAGCTTTCTTTGTTCCCCGTGTTTTCCAGGCTACTAAAAGGTTCCAAGAAAAAAATAAAGAAAATGTATGAACCTGAGAGGCCAATAGTATAAACGCATACCACAATAAACCATATGGTAAATCCTAAAAGAGATTTTCTATGAAAATATGTAATGAAGTAATTAACATGTGTATTCCCATTAAAGAGAATATAGCAACAGTTGTTCATATTGTGAATTCATACCTGCCAGAAATGAATTTCTTCTGATTTGCCAACAGTAAGATATTTCCAAACATCCTTAAAATAATACACAACTGCATACAAAAGTGGACCGTATCCTAATAAAATGATGCCTATCATATATTGTTGCAGGGTTTTAACTCTGTTTCTTTTAATAGCAGATAATGCAAGGAAACTTAACATTAAGCTTATGCACCATATATATTCCCACCAAAGAGGCTGCAATGAAAAAGTTGAATCATTGTTTCAATAGAAATAGTAAATAATCTATACATATTTTTAAACATACTTAAATAGTTATAGAAATATTTATTCACTTACCTGGGGTACTTGCAACTCCTCAATCTCTAAAATAAATATATCCAGATGATCTAAAATGTCAGCTGATAACTTGGCAAGCATAATGAAGAAAAGAAGATAGTGAAAAAATATGCAATATTTCAGTCTTGATTTGTTTGTTGCGCTAAAAGGAAGATACGTTTAATTCTAATAATAAACAAATAACAGATATGCAATGTTATTTATAATCGACATCTTCATGTTTTAAATATTTTCAGATGCAATATAAAATAGATATTAGGGGTAAAAAATAAAGAGAAAAATGATCGTTTTATTTTATTTCGGTTTAATTACCTGAGTTGATAGTGACTAGCAATTTTTTGTCTATGATTAAAATCACTTCCATCTGTACCCAAAGCCTGGGATAGTGTAACTTTTGAAGCCATATTCCGAAGTTATCGTGAATGAGACGTCCAAATCACTTTCCTATTTCAATGGCAGAAAATTCTATATAAACAATTTTGGAGTAGTAATTCAAGGTAAACTATTTGGTATTTCATTACCAACTATTTAACTATTTTTAAACTTTCAGAAACCCTGTTAGTGGCCTCATGGGTCACGGCTTCTCAGCTCCTTGCAAATGTGTCACTTTCGTTAAGCCGCATTTTCATTTGTTAGAAATCGAAACTCGTTAAGAGTCCATTTTCATTTCAAATAAGTTGTGAAGTTACATTTATGTAGAGAGGTAGGTAATCGATATTTTTATTTTTATATATTTAAAAAGTTTCAGATTTGAAGAATATATCCTCAGAATGTTAAAACGATAATTAAAAATATAATGATGCTCCACGGCAATGGTAGCGAGTAATTTATTTAAAATTCGTTCTACAATCAACAGAAATAAACATTATGTTCATTCAATAAACTAATTCAGTGATAAGTGGTGAAAAGAAACAAAACAGTCGTGTGCTAATAAGCCCAGCTATTTGTTGGCAACTGTCCCTGCTTTGTCCCACCCACGGATCTAAAGGACAGTGCATAAACTATTTAGACTCGTGGACGCGGTGGTTGAAGCACAAGCAGGGACAGGGGAATCGACTCTCAGCCATATTGGCACGCTAAAGCGGTCCTCTCATATATACGGTACCGCGGTCAAATTTAAAATTGCATGCTTGATTTTTTATTACATATACGTCGTCTGTACACATTTTTTTTAAATGAGATTTATTAAATTTAATTTATAGTTTGACAGAACCGTTCTTTCTACGAATATGTCTATGTTTTTTGAAATAAATTTAAAGGTAACAGTAGTTTTTTAACATGTTTCATTAAATTTTGTAGAATTTTTTGTGTGTAAAGTAAATGTAGCGCTGATCTTAATATTTTTTCTGCTGTTTTGAAAATGGAAACATCATCGCTTGGCATTGGCAAGCCTCTTCTTTCGTTTCCAGCGTTTTTTTTATAAACGTTTCATCTTGCGTCGCAGGTATTTGAATTTTTAATTTTATAAGCTCCTAGGCTATTTACTCATTTTCCAATATATATGCCAATTTCATGGCTCCACAACTATCCATTACATGCAAAGTAATTGTGGTCAAGTTCAATATCAATGAGTAATTGAAGTTCCTTAGAGGATTCATTACCTTTATCGGCGTTAGGTTCAACAGATTTTAATGCTTTTTTTTTAAAATGATCTAATAACAATTTCAAACTTTCCACTTTCAAACTCAGCTGCTCAACTGTGTAGTTTAAACTTTTTTGCTTTTTTCTAGATTTTATTACAAAATTTTGAACAATATTCCAACTTAAATCAGAAGTAAAATCTTCTCTACGTAAATCTCCGATATAGCGTGCATTGCAACGGCGCTTAACGCTTGTTGAAGGTGGGGGCTCATCCTCTTTCCTAAAAAAAAGACAGTATTTCAAAGCAGTTAAACCAATTGTTATAAAACTTTTATTTTATAATTCTAAAAAGATTTTTAAAATCTTCTAAAAAATAATAAGGAAAATAAAGCATAAAGAATCTAAAAGACTGACTTTCTTTTTGTACTATCTTTGTCCTCTTCTTCGTCGACAACACTCCCTTCTGAATCATTTGATAGATTGGCATCTAATTCTGATACCAATGGTATATTAATCTCTGTCAGTACTGAATTACGGCATACAGAACCAATGAGTGTCATATTTTCGCTTTGAACACTGAAAGTATATAATATATTTCAATAAGAGAACATGTTTTATTATCAGCAGTATTAACATATTTAAGAAAACTATACCTGTTAGACTGAGGATGTAAAATACATGGAACAGCTGTGGGAGCTAAAAACCTTCTCACGTCATTTCCAACTATTTTATAAACAAAATCCTTAGGTTCAAAGTGTTTGCTACAAACACTACTATAATCTTTCACTTCTCTGCCTATGTGTTTAAACCATTTGGCTTTTATTTCTTCTTTTTTGGGAAGACTAAAAATAAAATTACACAATATATATACATGTATAAATTGTATTTATAGATACTGCAAATCTGGCTGGTAGGATATCAAAGCCGTTTTAAGAGTCATACAGAGGAGCTTTGGAAGCTGCATACGGTAATATAACTAACCACAACCCATGAACTTTGTACTTAAATTAGGTCCTTTCGATAAAATGTTTAAAATTATTTACCCATGAAATGAAATATCTTCAATATCGCCATATCCTAGTTTGCATATACAACACACCCGCACCATCTTAGAAAAAATTATGTACAAGTTTTCTTCATATATGCATATATACGTATGTACGAAGTACTACGTAGAATTATTTGGAATCATTTGGAATTAGGAATACATATTTCCTCCACTCAGAGTTGCCATGGTCAGCCATGGTAGCAAACGGTAGAAAACACAGTTTCCAGGGGTAGCTACCTTTAGACATGAAATTTTTGAATTTTTGTGGAAGTCTAGAGACACCTTTGTAAAGTTAGCCGGATAATTATGACTTTTTAACATTTCATTATACTCAATCGATTGGTGGTCATTGGTGGCCTAATTAGAACATTTGGTGGTACTTAGTTTCTATAAAAAACAAAAAAAACGATGTAGTCATCTGGCGGATACAGATACAGGTGTACCAACGCATGTTTAAAGTCGATAAAATAGATATTTCTGGATAGATTGTCTTTTCGGAGGAATCAATCGATGTAGAAAGGTGTGCTAATGATTGGTGGCCTAATGACAACATTTGTTCAAGCCGACTGATGAATCACAATTCACAGGTCCACACAGGTCACAGGGACGACGAGTCGCGTGTATCGTGACGCGAGTTTTGTCCACAGTGATCTTACGAATCTCTACGTAACAGCGGAGGAGAACGCGAGATTCAAAGAACTATGTTAGAACTCCTCAATCAGCTTGATGGTATGAACAGTTAACATCTCGTTGTTTCTTACAAAATGTATAATTACATTTTATCGTTTTTATACATTTAGGTTTCGATAGCAGAGGAGATGTTAAGGTTGTAATGGCTACAAATAGAATCGAAACGCTAAATCCAGCATTAATCAGACCAGGTCGTATTGATAGAAAAATAGAATTCCCATTACCCGATGAGAAAACAAAACGAAGAATTTTCAGTATCCATACCAGCAGGATGACTTTAGCACCTGATGTGAATTTAGCAGAATTGATTATGGCTAAAGATGATCTTTCAGGTGCAGATATAAAGGTATGACTCCAGTTGGATAGTAGCTTAATAGAGCAAAACATTTTCAAAATAATGAGATACATTTCTAATTCACAGGCTATATGTACTGAGGCTGGTTGAATGGCATTACGTGAACGCCGTATGAAAGTTCACCCGAAGGATTGTATTTATAAAAAGATTACAATTAATATTCTTCACATACAGTTCAATTGTAACGTGTTACACAGACTAATAGAAACATGAAAAATTATATTTGGATTAATGAATTAAGTGTTTGTGGATAGATCTGAAACATAATTTGGTATTTCTAATATATTGGATTCATCAAAATTTAAGTCTTTTAAATATGGTTGGAAATATTGATGTAGTCTTTGCATTACTTTCATAGAATATCTTTTTTGTTCATCAATGATTTCTACATATGGTTTTTGTATTTCATGATTCATAATCAGTGGTTCTTTTGAACAGATATAGCAGATTCCTCTCCTAGTTTTATCAAGAATTTCTTTTATATCTTGTGGATGCTCGGTATTCTGTGGCATAACACTCAATAAACTTTTAAATTTTCCTAACACAAAACCATGTTTGAAACCTTCTTCAAATCCTCTATCAAAACCTTCTTGAAAAACAGAATCTGATCCACTCTCTACTCCCTCCCTGTAACCACCCTATAAAAGTAATAACATAATTAAATAAGTATATATATATATAAATTTTAATTATATATAAACAATACTGAATATATGTTGTTAATACAATTTTAATTGTGTAGAAATAATACCTTCTTAGCAGCATTTATAATTCTAACAAAGTTCTTAGCAGCGACGTGCAAAGATTCCTCAACTTCCGGTGTAGATGCAGATTCGTCCATATTCTTTAAAAATTACATTGTATCAATATATCAGCAAATATTTGTCTTGACTAATAAAACTTATTTGTAAATAATGAAAAAACGTGACGATCTAACCTAGCAAATATAAAAATAATCAGATAGGCTGTATAATCTTTTATAATTAAGTAATTCAATGGAACCAGAAGCCGGTACTTCGAAGGATCAAGATGGGAATGTTTCAGACACTAATTCAGTGGAAGCCATTGAACAAAAGTATCTTTTTTTTCTTCTTTTACTAACTGTTACCCGAGTAATTATTTATGTGATCTGTAGGTTATGTATACTACTCCTTACGTAGTATAAATCAAATAAACACTGACATTGTTACCTTATTACATAATAAGGAATAAACTTTAAGTATTCAATTGATGAGTAGTATTTAAATTTTCAGGATTCTTGCATTGGCTCAAGCTTGACCAAAAGGTATATCGGACAAAGATTTGACAATTGAAATACCAGATTTGCAGCCTGCTCAAAGAGCCCAAATTATAAATAAACTGTTATCTCTGGGTCATTTTGACTTATTTAAACAAGGTGGTTCCTTGTTGTATCGTTTAACAGATCCTTCCAAAGCAAAAATAGCAAAAGGTGCAGACAATGAAGAAAAGATTGTCAATACCATAATTGAAGAAGCAGGAAACAAGGGAATATGGATTAGAGACATACGATTCAAGTCTAACTTAATGCCAACCCAGTTGAATAAGATTTTGAAAAGCTTAGAAACTAAAAAATTTATCAAAGCTGTCAAGTCTGTAGCAGCAAGCAAGAAGAAGGTTTATATGTTGTATAATTTGGAACCAGACACATCTGTAACAGGTGGTGCCTGGTATCAAGACCAAGATTTTGAGGCAGAATTTGTAGATGTTCTCAATCAGCAATGTTATAGATTTTTAGAAAAGAAACGTGAACAAATGAATTCTTGCAGAGGTGGACCAATTGCAGCTAGAAATGTTACATTTGCTTTATCCAAAGAAGTTTGGAAGTTCATTTCTGATCTAGGAATAAGCAAGGTTTTAATATTAATGAG